GGACAATACTTGATGCCAAGCGCTTCCGACGAGCTAATCTAATTTTTGCCATAAATGCTATTTGCGAGTTTTCGCAGAACCACGATACGCGGTTTTGTACTTTAAACAACAACAAATTCTTATGGGCGCTTCATTCAACCCGCAACCGTCAGTTAGCTACCAACAGCCAATGGCAAATCTCATTAACAATTGCAAGTGACTTTCATGAATTTCCCGGATTTGCGCAAAACTTGTTAGTCAGGTTCTCAAGAGGGAGGGCTGCTATAAAAAGAGATGGGAAGAATAAAAGTAGTGCAGTGAGATCGCAAATTGTGAAGGCTGGCGGTTGTTGTCACACAGTGCACTTTTACATTAGTTGAAATCGTGTCGGCAAGCTGCTGGAATTGTAAATTTCATATTTGCTCCACTAGCTCCATCTGCGCTACAGTTGGGACTCCTTGTTGTTGACGTTGCTTTTTTTCCAAGTTCTGATTAAAATTGTCGGTTGGCATCTATAATACTACCAAGGAACTGCAACAATATGTGCAATTGCTTTAAATCGAGCTGCACGTGAGTTGGTTTACACACACACACACAAATACACTCCCGCTCTTTTCGCCCATCGGCAATCGCCTACCGACAAGCGACAAGCAACTAGCAACCAGTTGCCTGCAATGCCGATGCAATAAGCAAGTGATGCTTTTCGTGTTGCTTTTTTCTGGCTGCTGCATTTATTTGGTTCGCATATTACGTGCCAGCTTAGCTTACGCAGACATATTTTGTTATGTTATTTTGTATTATTGCAATTTTTTCGTTTACTTCCTACCACATCCGTTAGCGAAGACTATAGTTTCTTGTACGTTTATGTCCTCTGTAAACTTCAGGCTTTGGTGTTCATATTTTTTATTCTCTCAACGACTTTGGAGAAACTTTCGCAGTGCAATGTTGGTTGTTTTAACGCGCCATGAACTTCACCATATGTTTATAAATATTTTTGTCTGGATAGTATATATATTTGCTGTATGTAAGTAGGAACGAATTCAGTTACATTATTGCACATCTGCGCTAGAAGATAGTCGTTTAAAATATACCCATGTGTATGTAAGTACTTTTAGAATTTCTCGCATCTTCAAAGTGATTGCCATGCGATTTGTTTCGTATGTATGGACATTTTCGAACATATTTGTATTACTATTAATGCACACAATATGATCTTTTGTCATACCATATTAGTAGGTGAATTTAAAGCGGAAACAAAAGTGTTTGCTAGAGTTTTAGGAAATTTTAAAGCTGATTTTTTTATATATTTTTTTTGAATGCGATGCTATGCAAAATGTGGCGGTGAGTTTTTGAAAAGTTGCAGGGAATGATTAAAGGGTTCTCTAGATCGAAAGTTTGGGAAGAAAAAGGAAGATTTTTTTTTTAAAGCTAGTTGGTAATTAGACATTTTCTTATACCATGTTTTAGTCAAATCGGTTCATTAATGTTTGTAATATAGCTAAATGGCCAATTAATTCGGATGAAAAACTCACTAAGCAAGGGCGAAAAACACAAATAAGTATGCACAAGATTTTAGCTATTTACTTGCACTCTCTTAAAAGAAAAGCAAGAATTAGCTTACTTAGTCAAAGTAGAAAACCTATTGTAGATAATGAGCTCTACGAACAAGCGATTGTGGCCACGTCTTCGGCACTGTTTTACTAACAAAAAACTATTTTTTTTTAATTTAATTTGTAGAAAACTCATTGCTAAAAGACAAATACCATAACGCTAAGATATCCTCGTTTGCAGATTTTTTGATTAGTCTTTTGAAAGACAGTTGTCAGACTTTTGTCTTACGAAAGACTCTGTGGTGAGTTGCAAACAGTAAGCAGAATTGCCCTGTACGTTTATGTGAAATCGATACTTAATTCATTAATATTCATTAGTTAGGGTGTCAGCTCAACATATATGTATTTACTGGAGCGGAAAATTTAAGCTATTGCTTTAATAAAGTAAGCCGTAGCTAATGATATTCTTCAATTATCATACTCTAGTAGGTAATTTCACATGCTCATTGTACAAACACATACATACATACCTGTACGTACATACATTTAATCACACAGTCGACAAGGCTACTGCAGCAAAATTTGATTATCTCAATGTCCTTGACACATTATGTGTTACACATTGTTGACACTCGAAAGTTTTCAACGCTCGGTAAACGTCGAATTTATGCTTGCTCATACATCTACACGTTCTTCCAAAATGCTGACAAAGTTGAGAATGATGAGAGAAATGACTGGAATGGGAATAAAAATCAACTTAAAAGCATTTTCGGCAATTTTCGATTTTTAATGCAGCTTTGGTTGAATACAAACACACAGAGATATCTAAGAAATGTCTACATATCTACATACTCATACGTATGCATATTTTTATGTATGTGCACTGTTTATTGTCGACGACAACGCAAATGCATCTTCATCTTTCAAGCTGTAAAATATGTTCACCAATCCTTTCAAAGGTCACACGAGCGTAAATGTACATTGCTGCAATGCTTTGCGTACAACTTTAATCGTATGTACATATGTATGAACGTACTAAATGCTTCTTCAACTAGAACACATGGTACAGCATTCACTTATGTGAAATTTGTGAAATTGTTTGAACACACACACACACACATGTATTTAACGCATTTTGTTCATGAGAGCTTTGTTTGCCCAAATATGCTCATCAGCAGTGCAGTATTGTGTTCGTTGAAAACTCTTTGTATACGGCGCCAAAGCTGAATTATGGTCCTGTGTTTTCTCCTACATATATCTATGGACATTTTATACTTACTATATATGTATGTTCGTAGAAATGAGTGCAACATCAGCAACGTTGTAATTTCTGATGTTTGCCTTGTAACCCTAACTTAAGTAAATATCTACATGTGTGTGTAATGGTAAGGGTAATGGTTCCAAATGGCACCAACAATAGTGCTTCACTGGCCAACGTCATTGCCAGGCACCGGCCAAGCAACATCTATATCACTGCGAGCACTTAATACATTGTTCTTGTTGTTGCCCTACCACAACTCATTGCCATACAATGCTTTCGGATCTTTTTTTTTGTTTTTTGCAACAATGCTCCAACTCTTCTGTTTTTTTTTGTTTCTTTCCGTTAAGAGTGTATGCGTGCAGTTGCATTCATTTAACTTCATGCTGGCAATAAAGCTTGCTGTTTCTTAGATATACTACAGCCAGCAAAATTTGTGGCTCATTGCCGTTTATCCAAGTGCTATTGAATCTACCTAAGCAATTTTGTAGCTTAATCTGCAACGTTTAAAATTTGTTGATGGGAGGGGTTTTTTTTTTGCTTTCTATTATTGCTACCAGTACAATTGCTGCAGATTGGCAACAATAAAATTCGCCGCCCATTAGGAAAGAAGACAAAAGCGGTATGATTAGTAGTAATTTCAATGAAATGAGACGCTTATATTGGTTAGGAATTAACTTTAGGAAGCAAGCCATAATAATCACTTACATCGCTTACGTTTTGAGAACACTTTTATCCATGTAACGGATGATTTTTTAAGAGCTTGATAACTTTTTTTTTAAAAAAAACGCATAAAATNCTGTAGACATCGTGAATATTTTCATTGAATCTCTGTTTTTACGTGGCGGGTCGAAAACGCTCTGCGCCTGTCCTGACAAGGGTTTTTTGGTGCAGCAGTTGGAAAATTCAGTCTTTGCGACTGCACCTCCGACAATGGAAGATGCTACCAGAAACCAGCATCGGAGCATCCATAAAGCTAATTGTGTGTCGCATGTTCAGAGAACGTAAAACCAAAATTGATAAGACGATCATACGCTTGGAGTATCCTTGGCGTACGTTCAATGCAAGAAGTTAACTTTAAATCTAATCATTATCTTATTATGCTGTAGGGAAAATCTCAAGTTTTGACTTGAGCGCACAAAAACTCCGAGACAAGTATTTAAACTTATTTTGTCTCGATTTTTTAAGATACTTTGATTTTAATGACAAAAAGCTCAAACTTTAACAAAGAAAAAAAATTCTTTGTATTTTATTTCAGCCTTTTGCTAAAAAATCATGCTACTAAGAATGAAAATCGATGGATAAATAAATAAGTTTTGAGTGGTTGAATGAATGTACATGGCATATGAGTAAGATTTTTCATGAATTTTTGTTCATTCTAGTGAAAATGATCTGTAACTGGTTTCTGCAACTCTAACGATTATTTCTCTACTGGTAGAGAGTATACGTCATTCTCTACTACTCACTAACAGTAGAGAGCACGGCGGCGAATTCATATATGAATTGGCCTTGGTAGAGAATTTTTACAGAAAGGAGCTACTGGAACGCTTTTGGTATACCTTGGGCCAGAGCATCTAGTTGTGCTTGGTGCTATTTTCGGCCGGCCTTTTTCCCATTGGGGTAGATAATTTTTTCTAGCCAGCGTATCCGCAATATAATTTCGTGTTATACCAGTGTGGCCTGCACCACTGTATAATCAGATTCTACTAAATGATATTCGAATACGAAACGATAAGGAAATTCTTCACTACCCTAACCAGCCAGCTGGCGGTTTTTAATGGCAGCTACCTTGGCCCAGAAAGCACTGCAGTCATTTTAAGGCCTAATGTGTGTTTGATAGCGATCATTCAAGCAGAGACTACTCCACCAACTTGTCATATTTTTGAACTGCTTATTTTTGTTGCAATAAACGGAAGAATAAATCTGTTGTATTTTTGTGTATGTATATAATAGTTTTTATCTATGGAATACTATTTTAATTAACATTTAAATTGAGCTCGTAATCACAAAAAATAAAATAGAAACAATTTTATTCATAAAAAAAACCGGCTAAATCCACTTCAATTTTGAAAATACAAAAACTAAAACCTGCTAAGTTAGAAATTCGCCAATAAAACCATAAAAACGTAATTTTTTTCATTCGTTCTGGATTAGGGCCATAGAACGTCGCGCGATTAACAGACTATATGTAGGATTTGCCCCATAGACTAAGAGTTAAAGATATATTTAGTTTTTTGCCTCTACAGTAAAATATGTTTTTTGGTCGTTAGCAGGTTTACACTTTAAGGCGACGATGTGTATGTATTCAACTAATGGCGTTTTCTTTACCACAGAAATATTTTGCCTTCTCTTGTGCGTAGTACTGAGTAGAGGGCAATGAAAAGGCAACATTTTATGTAGTAAAGAAAACGGGATTTCGACTCTTAGTGGTTATAAGATACCCGAAAGGGAGATATTAGTAAAGATTTTGTGGGTGTTTGACAAATTCCATGTTTCAGCTCTTATTATACTCGATAAAGCCCACAAGAAAAGTAAACTCACTGTGTAAGTTTCATTTGTTAAATAGCTGAAAGATATAAGCTGTAGGGAAAGAAAAAAGGGTTAAAAAAAACAAGGGTATATACCAGGGTGGGCAAAAACTCGGAGTTCGAGCGAGCGAGCGAGCAAACTCCTACTCAATGCCTCGCAGACAACGAGGCGCACGCATCTCGTACTCGTAGCAGCAATGAGGCGAGGCACGAGAAGTTTGCCTCGCTCGCCAAACGAGCGAGCGCTGCTTGTTACCTCGCGCTCCTATTAAACGAGCGAGGCTGTTGTGTGTTGCCTCACTCGCAGTACGAGGGGAGTAGCTGTCTGCATACTCGCTCTGCTAGGTAAGACGAGTGAGCGAGGAGTGAGTGCACTATACAACACATGCATTTTTGTGCATAAAAATGTGGGAATGTATGTCAATAGATTATGTACGAAAGTATGTTAATAATTGTATGTACATATGTACATATGCATATAAATATGTGAATATTATATCGAGCCCTAACCGCCAAAATAACGTAAGCGACATTTTTTTCAAAATTTTTTTTTGATGCAGAAATGTACCTAGATGCTCTAGGAATATTTCTGCATCAAAAAGAAAATTTTGAAAAAAATGTCGCTTACGTTATTTTGGCGGTTAGGGCTCGATATTAGGGCAGCTTTTAAAACAACAAATAAAATTTATTACATACGTAAGCACAGATTATGGAATGAGATATTTTTTAGAGTTATATACATACATAACATGCATATTTATATATCTGTGTTCGTATGGAAAAGTAGCTTATGTCGAAAGGTTGGCTTTAGTATAATGCGGCAATCCCTTTATTTTTTAAACGGCAAGGAATTTTTTGATGAGACTTAATAAGAATATTGACTTGCTAGTATCGGAACTATTTCTTCCACGTTTATTTGCTAAAAGTTGTTCAACGGCTTACCGCCAGTGAGTCATTCGCAATCGTATGCTGCGAATGCCGATTTATACTAAAGCCAGCCTTTCGACATAAGCTACTTTTCCATATGAACACAGATATGTATGTATGTATGTATTTATGTATGTATGTACATATGCATGTATTTTGTCTTTACAGAGAAAAGTAAGTAACGAAGATAGTATAGATAATCGTTTGTGCCGCAGAAACAAAAAACAAGTAAGCACTTGTTAGCACCCCAAAATAGTTTGCTACTTGTAGCAGTTATGCTGTATACCTGAATGAAATATAATCCTTGGAGAAAAGATTTATTTGTGGCCTGTTGTTCAAGGACATATGTACATGTATGTATGTATGTATGGATATGTATTTGCGTAAACAAAGAATAGAGGCCGGTTCACATACAACTTTGGCGTTGCGTTGGCGTTGAATTTCAAAGCAGCCGTCCACCGTATATATGTACTTACCATTGCGTTACTTCGTTTGCCTGCCTGAGTAAATTGTTTGCCTTTGATGTCTCGTTTTTTCCCCTTTGTCCACTCAGCTTTTACCTACTTCACATCGCCCCCGTTTGGTTTACCCGCTTTATATGCTCGCTCGTTTGCGTTTCCCGGATTTTCCCTACCCTCCGCCCATGGATGCTACCTAGTATGTATGCAGACATAGGCACCAAAATGGGAAAAATATGAACATTCTACTTGAAATGTTTCCAAAATTATTAAAAAAACACAATTATGATATTTTTCGAGTGAGAATGATATATTTATGCTATAAAACTACACACCAAGCATTGCTCTACATATAAATGTGATTAAAAAGTTTAAAACTTTGTTGAAATTTTCAAATTTTTTTACAAAGTATGAAACTTGCTTGGACTTGTATGGTCTGTCTCTCATGTACACTTAGGTCTTTTTTATGCGGTAGATGCGTTCTTCAGAAAGCCGCATAAAAAAGTTCTTTAATTTCATACAAGAACAGGAGATGCGTTCCAGCATTTTCAAAACCCGCATAAATTCAGATACTTCAAAAAAACAAAAAAAAAAACAATTTATTTCTTCACTTCTGTATTTTAACCAAAACAAAAAATATCATAAAAAATACATGAATTATGTAAGAAAAATTGATTGCAAAAAAAGTAATAAAAACTCTCAAAGAAGCAAAATCGATACAGCGAAAAAAATGTTTGAAAAACCTCATAAATTCACATCCGCATAAAAAAGAACCACATAAAAAGAGACCTAAGTGTATAAGTTGAAATTTTATAAGCTATTGAAAATTAAAAAAACTATACCTACATATACTACGTTTATACGTAAGCTATTTGCAAATAAAAATAATTTGCAAATACCTAACTCACTGTTTATTCGATGGTGAAAAATTCTTTTTTAATATTGCCTGATTATAAAAAGGCAATAATATGACAATCGAAAAAGAAAATAAAGTTAAAAATGGCAACGTCTTGATTATAAAAAGGCAATAAGATAATCGAAAAAGAAAATAAACCTAAGAATGGCGGCGTCTTGCGCTTATTTGCAAATAGTAGCACTAATCAATACTTATTTGCGTGATTTAGTTATTTGCAAATAAAAAGTTAACTCAGCGTTTATACGGCAAATTTTACCATTTTGCAAATTGTTATTTGCGAATAATACGTGCGTATAAGTACATAGTAATATATATGTATGCACATATGAGCCTACCTAGTAGATAAAACTGGCAAAAATAGGACGCATCTATTCTTCTGTGCATGAAAATATATACACAAATAAATACATACATATGTGTATATATGTATGTATATACATATCTACATGTGTGCATACAATCGTTTGCTCTAAATTCTTAGTTGATGCAATTTTTATCCCATACATTTTTGCTGACCAAACAACCCGTTTGCCTGTCTAATCTGCTTTCCTCATTTCCCTCGCTCGTTTACTCGCCTCGCTCATCTGCTGCTGCAAATGAGTGCCTCGCTCGCAACGCCCCTCTCGCGAGGGCAGAGCTAATGAGGCCCTCGTTTGCTTGCTGCTCTACTCTTGCGCCGCCCTCGTTTGCTTACTCGCTCGCTGGCTACTCATCGTGTGCGCTCGTACCTAACGAGTGCTCATTTGCAAACAGCCTCGCGTGTTCCTCGTGAGTTGCGCTAACTCAGAGCAAACTAACGAGCGAGCGAGGGGCCAAAATGAGGCAAATCCGAACCCTGGTATATACATAAAAATGTCTTTCAAAAAATTCGCTCATACCAAACCACATGCACAAAAACAACAACAATAGAGCTTAATGTAATTCGCCTTTTATACTTCCGTTGGAAATAGTAACCTTCGGATACATTATTGCATTACAACATTTACCGAAATGTCAACCGCAGTTTTGTTGCTTTCAGCCAACTCCTGCCGGATATGATGAACTCAATAAAGTTGAAGGCACTCCTTCATTGCGCATCAATATCTTCACCGCCTCCTTCACACTTTTTTATAGATTTTTTTCGTACAAGGCCCCCTCCCCGCACCAACTTCTACACTTTCTTACGTTTCGCTGGCCATCCGATCCACAATCGATAAGCAACTAAACAATCCACATAGCTTTCAGCAAATTTTGCGCTACTAAGGTAACGTACTTACAGCGCTTTGAGTTGTTTTGAATTGAACTGAATTGAGTTGAGTTGATTTGAGCCGCATCAAGTTACCTGCGCTTAGCTTACAGGTCAGTTGGTCCTTCTTGGTCACCGATTTCTTTTTACGCATTTTTCAGCCACTCCTCAAAAACTAGTTAGTCCTTCTTCAACTTCACCACACACAAGTATCTACTTTAATGCGACTTTTGGCTATCAACGCAGTCAACTAATCGTAAAATTTTATTTAAAGCTGCAATGTTGAAAGCATAAAAGCTGTAAGCGGTAAAAATCAAAGCTACTAACTATGTGTAGGCGAGAAAAGTTAGCTCATTCGACGCGGTTTATTTGTGGCCAAAAATTTACCGATTCGCATTTTTCGAGCTCAAGTTTTATCCTTTCTCTTGTAGCGCGCAAAAAGAAAAAAACGATTGCGGATATATGTATGAGCCAGGTACTATGTCATTGCCAACACTATCTCTCCATTGTTGCTTTTCTGCTTTGTTGTCCTTGCCTTGAATGTGAGCAAGTCTTTGTTTTCTTCTTCCAGCGTACGAACAGTTCATACTCCCCCTCAGCATTTGGTTCATCTGCGTGCCTTTTGTTTGTGCGTTACATTGGCGCATACTTGCCACACTTTGGCTTGGCACGCTGATTACCATCCCCTGCGTAGTAGAGCTGTAAGTAAATACTTTGTGAAAGTTGCTGATTTTGAAATTTTTTTTATTCTTTTGCTGTTTTACTTGCCACATGAGTTTAGTATGCTTGGCTTTGATACTCCTCCAATGTTTGCTTTGCTGCAACCACTTCCTGCTTTCTCCTTAAAAAAGTATTATTCACAACTTTTTGTTTGCGTTGGCTATCCCTGCTGACCGCTCTATACTCTTTACATCAGTTCGAAGCGCTGCCAAAAACTTTAATGGAAAAAGTTGCTGTCGCCATACCAACATCTTGTCTCCTTTGCATTTGTGCTACTTGTCTTTTCTCATGTGATGGTAATGGGCAGCCTCAAAATTTTAAATTGTAATTGCAACCATTCCAATTTGAATTTGAATGTTCTATTTATTTTTTTTACCAAAAATTTACACAATTATTGTTCTGAAGGCAGTCAAAGCCTAGAAATTGGAGGAAAAGAGTCGTTCGGATATGAGTGTTTATTAGAATTGGTCTCGAAATTTACATAAGGAGCAGTGATTTAAACAATTTTTGCTTGGTGAGATGCCAAACTTGTATTGCAAGATGGTTGAAACTTTTTAAAATTACACATAAACAATTATTTTATATCTTTTGTATGTCAGTGAAGACGCGATTTAAATAGAACACATCCTCTTTAGACGCATAAATAAGCCAATGAAAATCTCTTTCTGCTTAGAACTTAAACTTTTGCTTAAAGAACGAAATAAATGAAATTTTTCTTAACTATCTCGGCAGCACTGGTTTAGAATTTGAACTAAATATGTTGGAGGTGTTGCGCGATGGTGGTAAATTTTTTAAACCGCAAATATTTCTTCTATGCTATGCGTAGCAAAGATTTAAAATATATATGGGGTATTCTCTCTAAAGTATCTAAAATACATTTTGTATGAATCAAAGAGAAACGTCCTAAGTTTGCGGAAATAATATAGAGTATACATATAATCTCCAGAATCCTGGCTGTTTGATCTATGCAGTGGCTGTAAAAATTGGTTGGCAATGGCAATCTACTACGAAAATTTCTTTCGCGAAAGACAGTATAACGAATTATCTAAAGTAGGACATTGCGCTACATAAAAAAAAATTTAAAAGTTGTAAGCCCATTGCGTGTAGACCATGTATCTCTTATGACCCAGATTTCTTATTTAAATACTCAACACAGAATTTAACTCAAATATTAACATTTTAATTTTTGCATTTACATATAAATATATTTTTAATCACCTAAATGCGAATATATTAACGAAACGTTGTCTTTATAATTTCAGGTAAGCAAAGAAGACATGTACAAGGTACATTGACAACATGGTATTACACAATACATAAGCACAATTGTTGGCGGTAAGTTGATTTCAAAACAATCATATCATTATAAAAGAAGTCAACGACCGAGTAAGCAAATAACGGCGTTGAGCTCTTATTTTGGGAAAACAAATTTTTTTTAAATTTATTTTAATAATCAACCATTGCTAAGAGAGCTTACTGCAAAAGGCCAATGAACTTAAATTACAATTTGATGAGTCCCAAATTGCGCTTATTATCCCATTATGTCTTTAGCTTTCAGAACAGTATGTGGGATATTAACTTTCACCTTTCTTTATTTTTCTTTTCCTTTTGGAAATTCATGAACGCTACCTCAAAACATTGTTATTTGTGATAAAAAAAGAGAACCGTATTTTTTTATTTGGAAAAAAATTTGTAGTTCGCGCTACTCGTTTTTTCTGAATTTTTTATTTTCCTGACATGTTAAAGTGTAGCTAAAAATGCTGCTTTAACATGTAATTATTCAGGTATTATTGGGGAATATTCTCGTAATGACAGTGTCGGCAAATAGATACGCTTTCGAAAAGAGAGTACTAAAATTAAAAGATTGATACTGGCCGATAAAGGCATTGTAATGGGTTGGAACTTGTCACCGGGAGGTTTATGGGGTTGCTAATTAGAAATCTGTAGTCAGTTTTTCAAAATTAAAAATGGAGGATCCAAAATGGCAATACATTTTAAAAAAATGTTTGAATTTGTTCGAAGCTCGGCACTCGGGAGTTTTTGTGGTCGCTGATTAGAAATCTGAGGTCAATTTTTTTAAATTAAAAATAGCGGACTAAAATTAAAACGTTGACACTGAACGTTTTAAGCTTTGTCTTGGGTTGCAGTTCGTTAACAGGAGTATGAGTAACATTTTCCATTTAAAAATTAGAATTTTTTCATACACAATGCAAACCTAAAATTAAAATATCTTAGAAAACAGATCCATAATCTTCGACCCTAAATTAAGATAACATGTCTCGGCGTTTTTGTGTGTGTGTCAGTTCAGCGTTTCTACAGTGTTATCAAAAGAAATTGATCAAAAGCTTTTTGATCCGGATATTTTTCAAAAGGAGTGCCACTTAAAATATTTTTTGTACTGACAGGCTAACCCAATATTCACGCACGCCGCCAATTTATTGTCAAAAATTACTCATGCACATGCAACTTGTATGAGATCAACCGAAATTGAACGGCGTGCGTATGAAGCTAACTCAATTTCCAATTTTTGTTCTGCGTGACATTTTGATTTGACGTTTCGCTCAATGAAATCAAATGCAAACGCATGCAAGTCAATTTCGGGTGACGCAAAAAATCAAATTCGACGGCATGCGTACCAAAACGCAAGCCGCGAATATTAGGTTAGCCTGTGAGGGTTTGAGTAATAGAGTTGAAATCCAAATTTTGAAATGATTACGAGCAACGTAAAAAAATGTTAAAATATCAGATGAGAGCTCTTAACTGCAACCTAGTATTGTTCTCACTACTTTTCTTAATCTGTAACCGTAAATATTTTGTTGCTGCATTTATTTGGAGGTAAAAAAGACAATTAGTATCGCCCAATTTAATCCTCTACGTGGAATAACCAGTGGTTAAAAAATTTAACACTCGCTAACTAAATGGATTTTATATAGACTTTGCAGCCGAGAAACAAAAATTATTTTCAATTTCTTCTTATACATGACATTTGTCATAAAACCATGGTATAATTGAAGTGCTACACTATTACTATTACATATCTCACACGGAGTTTCTGTTTTTATAGAAAAAATATATTAGCTTAACAAAAGACTTAGTAAAGTGAATTTGGGTAGACATTACGATCATTTATTTTGATTTAATTTCACAGCCATTTAAATAAACCGGTCTTATTTTATAATTTTCATAACAATGCCGGGCAAAGGACATGCAGACATATGTTGTTGAAGTCAATCAAATGAACGACGAGCACTGATGGCCAGCGGGCGACAAGGTTACCTCTTTTAGGTATGTAGGTTTGGCGTATGTATGTATGTATTCCATCAACGTAAAAGAGAGATATTTAAACTGTTACCATCTCCACCCAAAACACACATGGATTCTATATACATACGTATTTCTGTGGTAACAAAAAAAAAAACCTTTGAATCATTGNAAAAAAAAAACCTTTGAATCATTGAAACTTATTCGACCCACGGCTACATCATCTACATCACCTACATCCCTTATTACCTTCTGTTGTTTTGTTTGTAATTCTCTTGATTTCACTAACTGCTCCCGGCTCTATTTAACCTTTCAATATTTATCATTTAACATTTCATTTGGCATCTGTTATGCAGCAGCAGCTTAAAAACGTGCTAAATGACAAACAATGAAATAAAAACTACAGAATAAAGCTTTCTGGTTTCCGTCGAAACCAACAATCGCCTGAAAGCATGTCAGCGAACACATAGAAATAAAAGTAAACAAAGCAAAACAACGTTACATTGTACATGCCACAACCCCGTGCTAGCAACGAAAGGCGATAACAAGAAAAAAGGAGTAGAGTGAATGACTCTCAAATTCTCCACAAACATCTTGAATAAAAATGAATTTAAAAATGTATAGCAACATTGCAAATAAGCAAAGCAAAAGAAAAAAGTTACTGCTCATTATCGTCAACATTTAAGCGAGGTGATGAAGTGTTGAAAATGAAAATTGAAAATCTCCTCGCAGACGCTAATGCTGTTGTGCGCTCGTCAACACCCCTACCATCGTCCACTGCATCTCGTAAATTCTACGTTCTACCTACCATCGGCTGGGTGTGAGTGCTATGGCGTTGGCTATGACATTGTCGATGGCCTGTCAATGTGGCAATGTGCCAGGCGCTTCATTTGCCAGATACCCACTTGGCGCCCACTCAGCTGGCGCGAAAAAAAAAAAAGTACATTGTACATACTTTAACGTTGCTAGTTTGCCGCCAACTCAACACTCCACATCCAGCCCCGGTATTGCTGATCAGCAACCACTTTTGTGTATGTATGTATGTATATGTAGTACTTATTACAAAAATGCTCCACAACAATGGCGCTACAAATCGCTATGAATTTTTTTCTTTTTTTTTGTGTTTATAAAAACATTTTTTTTCTTTCGTTCACCTGCGATTTGCACTTATTCTTATCCAAGCCATAACCTGGCCATTCTATGTATGTATGTATGTATGTCATTGTCGGTGCTTGATTTATTTACGAGGTTTACTGTTTACTTTCATAATTTTTTTTCTATTTTTCTGTATTTTTATTTGAATTTTTTTGTTTGTTCTGCTTAGCTGTCACAGGTTCAAATTTTCTATAAATTGTTATCCTTTCCCCGTAGTATCCTTGCCACCATTTAGTTATTAAAAATATAAGTATGTCTATACTCAACGCTAGAACTTCCATCATTTCTCCATTCATTATTTTTATTGTTACTTTTCGAATGTACGAGTATGTATGTATGTATTGTTAGTTGATCCAATCTCGCTTCCGCTTATAACGAATTTATCTTTTGCATTCATCTGCGCTTTGTCTGGATAAATTAAGTGCTTTTTTGTTGTTGTTATATTTGTATTTGTTTGCTGATGGATTTATTGGGTGCACAATTCACTTAATGCGCTCTGTCCTCGTAGCATTCAATTCCATTTAAGTTCAATCGAGAAACCAATTATTATTAGTGCTCAATTGGATTTAATTGTGGATGTGTGAGTTCTTAAAAAATTTCTCATATTGCTGTATTAGTATTTATGTACATACTTATGTCATAAGGAGACGGGATTAAATTGTGTAGATATTTTAACTGAATTGTTTCCAATAATGAATTATATTACCTACAGCTATGATGAATTGAGTGATAGATATTTATTATTCAATTGAATTAAAAGATACTTCTTAATTGAAAATTATTTTTTAACTCTCAGCCCCTCAGCATAGTTTTTGTAAATAGCTATCCACAACAAGTTTAATTACACTAGTTTACACCAAAAACGTTCTACGGAAGGGGACTATCCAATTTTTTCAATTTCTCGTTGATTCCGAAAATCGCGTTATCTTTTTTTCTGTTTATGAGTTTTCGGAATATTTTCAGTTTTTCCGTATTCTGCTTAAACAAAAAGAGTGATTCCACTTAATCATGTATATCTTACGAACCAATTGAACAATCGTTATACGACATACCGCAAACGAAATCTGATAAAACTCTATACCGTACATACTGTTATTCCCAGAATTGGGCGTACGTAAATTTTAGTACAATAATATGTAGATTTCAAATGTCTAAAAATCCGCGTTGATTTTTGGGAATTTTTTTTTTTTACTGTCCTACGCATTTTTTTCATATAAAAAAATTCTGAAATACTATAAATGAAAACAAAAATTGGTAGGACAGTCAGCAACGAAATTCTCAAGAATGATTTTCAGATTTTTATACCCGAGCGCACTTGTGCACAAGGGTATATTAATTTTGTTCACATAACGGTTGTTTGTAACAGCCAAAACGAATCGAGATAGATATAGACAAATGTATAC